CAGTTCTCGGCGGACACAACATCTTTGTTGGTATGTGGTGCTGAGGATCGAACCCGGGTCGCACGCATACCAGGCGAGCGCGCTACCGCTTGAGCCACATCCCCAGCCCAACATAGAGATTATTTATAGTTATAGCCATGTACAGTTGGGTGGAGGGTGACATGTGTGATTGGAGCTGAGGGCCCCATGCCCAGGTGGGGAAGATCCACATGAGAGATGGTATGTTTTTGTGCAACCAATAAATAGGTACATCTTATAATTAATGACATTCTAGATTTGATGAAGTATTGTTACTTGTTGTATCTATCGTGGGCAAACTGCAATATCTCTACAAAAAGTCCATTTTAGATATTTAGTGGATATATATCCACTAAAAGTGCCCCAACTGCAAAATGGGGACAACATTCTTCCTCAGCCAGCCTCTATGAGGCCAAAATCTGTCAATGGTTTTGAGAGTGTCCTGCTCTTACCTCCCTCCCTGCTAGAGGGCATCTTGGTGGCCAGAGGTGAGCTTTGGGAAAATTGAGCCATCAGGAGCTAAGACCAGGACCGTCAGCACCACCTGTTTGTTTATCTGTGGAGAGGGAGGCCTCAGCACCGAGGGCCAAGCAAATATTTGTGGTTATGGATTAACCTGAGTTCCGGGGTATCATGGCGGCAGGAGGGCGAACTTGCAGTTCTCTGCGACCCACCCCTGTAAGTCCCCCTCGAGGCAGTACTGTGAGGGAGTATGAAGGGAAGGTGCAGAAGGGAGAGGGGACAGTTGAGCTGTGTGAGGGTGGAATCCTTGAGCAAGGGTCCAGGGAAATGTGGGCATGACTTGGCGTCCTCCAGGCCCAAGTGCCGTAGTCCAAAGGGGCCCTCTCACCACTTGCCTTGCTTTTTCCAGACTGTGAGTCAAGTGGAAGTCTGCTGAGGGGTTCCCTGGGCCCAGGACCATCCCCAGAGGCAACCAGGACCCTACATTATCTCCACTCTGTCCCCACCTCTAAGGATGGGACATTTCATTTAATTAAACTTTTGATCAGCTGTGAAGGAAATGGGGTCAGTCTAGGGTGCGTGGATGGGGCAGGCAGGCTTGCCCACTTGGTCTTGGAAGAAGTGGAAGGCTCTTGATTTTCTTGTCCTGTGGCGTTGTGGGGCACCAGTGGTTTGGGGCAGAAGTGGTTTTAGGCCTGGAGTCATACAGGCCCTGTGCGGAGTCTTAGCTCCTAATTGTGAACTTTTCATAAGCTACTTAGACTCCTAAGCCTCATGAAACAGGGGTGACAACATTAACCACCTCTTGGGCGGTTGTAAGCCTTAACTGAGGGAATAACAGATAATGTTTACTAAGATTTTTGTTATGTGCAAACCCTGTTTTGTTTTTGTTTATGGTCCTGGGAATCGAAACCAGGACCTTACATATGCTAAGCAAGTATTCTACCATTGAGCTATACCCACAGCCACCCACCCACAAATTGTTCTAAGAGCTTTATGTGTATGTACTAACATTTAATCCTTTCAATAGCCCCTTCAGAGAGAAACATAGTTATCCTACCATTTTACAAACAAGGCATGGAGTTGTTAAGCATCTCCCCCAACACTGCCTTCTAGTAAGTGTTGGGGTTTGCACCAGACCATCTGCATCATGGCCTGTCCTGAATTGTGTGCAAATTGTTTGAAGAACACCCCATGTCCAATCAGTGTTAGCTGCTATTCTTAGCTCAGCTATCAAACCAGCAAAGCCCTACCTCTCAGTCATCACCAAAAAATGAAGGAAAAGAGGGCACAAATGAATATTCTAGTGCATCTCATCTCCATGCGAGGCATTTCTGAGTGGAATCCCCTTTGACTATCAAAAGAAACCCTGCATGCTTTCTGCTTTCTCAGGCAGGTGGTATAACCTTAGCCCCACAAAGAGGAGACTGAGGGGACAGGTGGCTGTCTAGTGAACAAAGATCCTCACCCCAGGTTCTTCCCTGACAATGGGTACATAGGGATGTCTCTTTCATTCACGTCTCTTCCTGGGAAGGGGATGGAATTGGGGGGTGATGGCAGGCAGACCGACATTGATGTGGGGCTGCCAGGAACTTAGAAGTCTATCTCAGACAGGTGTCAATAACTCCAGAATGTGGCAGCTTGCAAGCCTCTTGCTGTTCGTGGCCACCTGGGGAATTTCCGGCTCATCAACCCTTCCTGGTAAGGCTACCTCCACCCCTACCACAAGACCCTCAAAGCCTCGACATGCCCTCACTGCCACCTGTCCTGGCCTCACATCATCCTCCACCTCCTCTGATCTTGGATGCGGTGAAAGCAGGCAGGATTGGAATGAACTGGCCTATAGGCCAAGGCAGGCCAGCTTTCAGAACACAAACCAGGAGCTGTGAGGGCACACACGGGTGATGACAGCGACAGGGTGGAGTGGGTGGGTGTCCACAGACTCCCTGGGCCTTCCCACTCCACCGACTCACATCCTCAACTGTGAAGGGCTCAGACCCAGGCCTCCACCCACACTATCCCATAAACTTCTTCTAAAATGCGTTTCTGAAGCCTCAATGCCCTGCCCCAGCCCTCTCCCTGATCTCCACAGAAGAGAACATGATTCTCTGGGGCAACTGCAGGACAAATGCTTTGCCCATAGAGCCACACCAAGCTGGTTCTTACACTTGTGCCTTTTCTTGAGTTGCTTATCTTCCTGAGATGCCCCTTCCCACTCCCCCAAACCCACTCCCCACTTGTGAAACCCACTCCCCACTTGTGATCTACTCCATCTGAGCTCAGGTACCTCTTCCTCTGGGATGCCTTTCACTCCAGCCCCTCTTATTCACTCCCCTAAATTGATCCCTCCCTCCTAGCTCTTCTCCTACCCAAGACAGGCAGAGCTCAGGAGACACTTAATGACATGCATTGGATGACAGATCTTTGTCCTTCTGGAGTCCCTGCCCAAGGGGAAGAGATGAGAAATACTTGATGGAGTAAGAAAAGGAGGATGAGTGACCAGAAGGGATTGCACAATGTGTAGCGGGAGAATGAGACCGACTGAACTTTGCAATCTAAACAGCAGCGGCATGTGGCATTTGAAATTGAATATTTATTTTTGTGACACGCATGGTATTGTTTTACATGCTTATTTCATCCCATATTTTATATGAGCAAAATGAGGTTCGAGAGAGAAAGACATCGTTTTAAGGTTACCCAGAGGTCAGGTTGGGATTTAAAGGAGGTCCATCTCTAAGCATACGCTTGCTCTAAACGGTCAAAGCTCCTGTCACCCAACAGTCATCTGCTTCATGTGGAGGGACAGAGCAGAGGAGAAAGGAGCAGCATCATTATTGGGAATTAGGATAAGCCCTAAGGGGGCCTGAGACAGGGCTTTTCCAGGTTCTTTCTCCAGTTGGGCTTCCTCAGATCCCTTCCTGACCTGCAGCCCCTCTCAGTCCCCTCCATCACAGTGAGTTTGCCTTCCCGCAAACCAGACTCAGTGTTCTCCAGCAGTGAGCGCGCCCACCAGGTGCTGCGCATCCGCAAACGCGCCAACACTTTTCTGGAGGAGCTCCGGCCAGGCAGCCTGGAGCGGGAGTGCACAGAGGAGATCTGCGACTTCGAAGAAGCCAAGGAGATTTTCCAAAATGTGGATGACACAGTAAGGCCACCTGGCTGGGTCCAGAGGATGAGGTGCACGGGTGGGCTGAGTTTGGGAGGAGTAGGTGGGGACCAATCCCTGAGGGCTTCTTGGGAATGTAGGGAGGCCATGGGCACCAGCCCCTACTCCCAGCTTGTTGAGGGTGGCTGTGTGGACAATGGCCCTATGGGCTTGTCCTTGTGATTTGTTTCTTGTGGCTACAGGAAACAGAATTCTGCTATGAGCTCCAGAAAGAAAAGTTTAGGGCAGCTCTAGGCTGGGATTCCCACCCAAACCCTCTGTAGGAAGTTCAGTCCACCTTCCAGGGGTCATTGGCTATCTTTGCCTCCTCCCTTTCTTCCTTCCTCCCTCCCTCCCTCCTTTCTCTCTCTCTCTCCCCACCCCCTCCTCACTTCTGCCTCTCCCCACCTCCTCTTCTCTGTGACCAAAAGGCTACCATCCTGTTTCCACCCTTGCGTCTGCTGGCCAGGGTTTGTGTGTCTACTCATACTCACTCTGCCTCAGTTCACATTCTCAGGGAAGAAATTCTGATTGCTCAGGGAAGCTGAGGTGGGGTCTGGGTCCTTTCTAGTCTGAGGATCAAAGCCAATACCACCAGCAGCAGCTGGGACCTAGTTAGAAGCACAGACTCTAGGCTGCCCCAGACTTTCTGAACCAGCATTCTGGGTCTCACCAACTCTTGAGAACACTGGCTTAGGGAAAGACTGGATGTGTAAGGGATCCCCCCAAACCAGGGAGGGAGTGAAGGGGCTAGGAGGAGGCAGGGGAGTCTGCTAGGGGATTTAGGTCCCTCTCACTGCAGAAGTTACTATGATATAGATTGTCCAGAGAGCTGGGTTCCAGCTGCATGGGGAGGAGTGTTGTTCATGGGCTGGGAAGGCCCAGTGCAAGAGGAGGAGAGGAGCAAGGAACACTAGCTGCAGGCAGCAGGTGACCCTCAGGCGTTGACCCTTATTTGTCTGGAAGCCCTCCCTTCCCCAGCCTGCTCACAGCTGCTCTGGGCTACAAGGGAGGAAGAGGTGCCTTGCTCCTACTGCACACGGGCTGGCCCCTGAAGTTGCCCCCTCTCTCCACAGCTAGCCTTCTGGTCCAAGTACTTTGGTGAGTGCGATCTAAACTCCGGGCTGGGCTGCACAGGTCTGCTCCTCTGGGTCTCTGGGCCTCAGGAGGTCGGGAAGGGAACTGACGGTAGTTATGACCTCCACCTTTCATCATGTCACGTGGGACAGACGGTGATCAGTGCGAAGGAGCGCCCTTGGAGCACCAATGCACCAGCCCGTGCTGTGAACACGGCACGTGCATCGATGGCATCGGTGGCTTCAGCTGCGATTGCAACAGGGGCTGGGAGGGCAGCTTCTGCCAGAACGGTAAGCGAGGCGCCGGGGTGGGGCCGGGCGGGTGGCTGACCCCTGGCGCACTGCGCCATTGTCGGCTCTCCGCGGTCTCCTGTCTGCCCAGAGGTGCGCTTCTCCAACTGCTCGGTGGACAATGGTGGCTGCACGCACTACTGTCTGGAGGAGCAGGGCGGGCGCCGATGCACCTGCGCGCCGGGCTACAAGCTGGCTGATGACCACCTGCACTGCCAGGCCTCAGGTGAGCCGCCCCGGCCCCGCCCCTCACACTTCTTTCCTTGGGCGCGGGAATCCAGCCGCAAAGGAACGAGCAGCTTTGAATAGGGGGAGTCTTAGGGTGACCATCCACGTGCCCGCCCCAACTTGCGCCCCTTGGCTGGTTCTGCCCACCAGGCTTTCTTGCTTACTTGCTTGCCTTCCTCCAGATGGCCCTGCTCTCCTTGGGGACACCTTCTGGAGCATAAGCCCATAGGCCACCCATCTCCAGAGTCTGAGAAGATCTAGGGGCCAGGTCTCCAGCGTGTCCCTCCATCTATCCTGGATGTGTTTATTTCCTTTGGACACATTTTCAGCCCTGTATCTTATTTCCCTCTGTATCCCTTGATCCTCCAGGAGAGAACAGAATCCTGATTCTGCCTTCCTTTATATTTTCCTTTTTATATGTTTTTGTCTTTATCAAATTTATTATGTACAAAGTTTAAGGAGTCAGGATTTTACCCCTTACAATGAATTTCCCCAGGTTTTCCTTGATGTGGAAAGAATTTCCCCTCCACTTCCTCTTGGACCCTTTAAAGAGGAAATTTATATTTTCTACCTCTAGGAGCATTTTTAAAAAATATTTCTTTGGGTCTGGGGATATAGCTCAGTTGGTAGAGTGTTTGCCTTGCATGCACAAGACCCTAGGTTCAATCCCCAGCAACACACACACACACACACACACACACACACACAAATTATTTCTTTGACAATCTCTCTGCCTTGTTCATCTTCTCTTTCTGTATCTCTCTAGTTGTATCATCTCTACTATTTTCCATCTCTTTGATTGTGTGTTCTTTCAAGGGATTTTCTACAACTTTATATTCCAATCCTTCCATTGAAAAACTTTTTTTCTTGCTTTGTATTTTGAAATAATTTGAGAGACACAGTAAGTTGCAAGGCAATGCCTGGTGGCCCTGTGGGTCTGGGGATTCTTCTGTGAGGTCATCAGAAGGCTAGAGTCATTCTCCTTACTGTATGGATCCTTAGGGCTTCCACTTAGGCCAGTTTTGGAGGGGAGGCCTCTGAAGTCTTGCTAAGGAATCTCAGGCTTGGCTTCCAGTGCCTTGGAGCAGGGTGGAACCAAGGAGCTGGCTTTGGGGTACCTGCAGGTGTTGTCCGACTCCCTGTGGTCAAACAGTTCACCATCACAGCAGTAGCAGCAGCGCTGCCTGGAATTCCTAGTCACAGTCTGTTTCTTCAGGTGACTATCTTCTGTAGGAGAGGGAGAGGGGCATCTCGCCATTGAGGAGATGGTCTCTAGTGGTCTCTCTCTCTCTTTTCTTTTTCTTGTGATGCACACTGGCCTTGTGCATGTTTTGCAGGCCAGTGCTCTGCCACTGAGCTACATCCTCAACCTTTTTTATTTTATTTTGAGACAGGGTCTTGCTAAGTTGCTCAGGTTGGCCTCAAACTTGCTGATCCTTCTACTTCATCCTCACAAGTAGCTGGAACCGCAGGGGTGTGCCAACATGCCTGGCTTCTAGCGGTCTCTCCTATTAACTCTCAACATGGCTTCTGTGTGCAAGTTGCACTTGTACCATGTCCCTCAGAGGCACTGAGGTCTCCTGAAGCTCTGGGATACAATCCTTGGCTTCTGGGTGCCCTGTTACTGGCTGAGAGTTTTCTTTCTCCGTCTGCTAAACCAGTCACAATGCTCAGTTTCCGGAGTTCTGCTACTGCTGTCTACGTTGCATTCTGTCATTACATGGTTCTCCGGCTGAAGGTGTCCTCACGCCCTGCAAGTCTAGATCCTCCAATCTAACATTCAAGGCCCTTTAGAAGCATACCCAGGCAGATTATCCAGTCCCTGGTTTTTCATGGAATGCTTTCTTCTCTTAGAAGAGAGGCCTTGGAGTTATGCTCAGGGTTACTTTGGGCTCTCCAAGCATGCCCCCACCTCCTTCTCCCTAAAATTTCTCACCTCTGTTAGGAGCTCGGCAGCATCCTGGCAAGGGACCTTCCTATGTATCTTGGGGATTATCCCCGACAGCACTGGGCTATAATGAACCACAGAGACATTTAACAACCGATGCAAGGACACAGGTAGTGATGCTGCTTGATCTGTCTTGCACTGTTTGTTGACTGACTGACGGACAGATGGATCAGAGGAGATTCACAGCCAATATGGAGTATTATAAGCATCATTTATCCTTTGAAACATACAACATGCCAAACTAGCCTACAGGCAGGAGGAGAATCAAGAAAGGAGGACAGTCTCAGGACTAGTGCCTGGAAGGCCCCTTACCATCTCCCTCTACCTTTAGTGAGGTTCCCATGTGGAAGACTAGGGATGCAAATGGAGAAGAAGCGCAGTTACTTCAAACGTGACACAGACCAAGTCAACAAAGTAGATCCGAGGATTGTCAATGGGTCAATTACCCGACAAGGAGACAGCCCTTGGCAGGTAAGAGGAGAGGAGTGGCTGCTTCTCTCCTTTGTTGGGTCAGGGGTCTCTGAGGTCCTCCTGGGAGTTCCAGCTCAAGATGCAGAATGGGGGAGGGGATTTGCTGTTGCTTGGGGGGACTGGTGATAAGGGTGGGGGTAGGGCTCAGGGAAAGACAGAGGTGACCTGGTGGAAGGGGAATAGCAAGGACAGGGTGGTATGGGTCATGGGCCATAAAGGGGAATATGCAAGAAGAGTTATGGTTGTAGAAAGAGCTGGAAAGATAAAGCTCTGTTGGTGGGAGTTTGTTTAGGCAGAGGCCCTGCTGATAAGAGAGGTACCTTGAGTGGGAGAAGGCTAGGAGGGAGGGCTGGCCTAAGAGCACTTGCTAGTTTCTGTTCTCTATGGAGAGGGAAAACCAACCAGAAATCAACAAGCAAGGGTACTGGCCTTTGAGAGCTCATGGACTCTGAGAGGCTTAGGATCCTACCTACTAGCTACCCAGGGGGAGCAGAGCCAGGAGAGCCATCAGGACAGAGGCTGAGGGAGGCCTGAGGGATGGCCAAGGCATCCTGGGGGCTACAAAGTCTTCCAAAGCCCCCCAAGGTGAAGAGGCTTCTCTCTGTGATGGTGTGGCTGAGGATGACTGCCTGAGCCAGGTCACGGAGACAGCCTGCCACAGGTCAACCCAAACAATGTTAGAAAGAGATAGAGAATGCTAGAAAAGGGCCACAAGTCTACCTATGCCCATGTGACCAGAGAGCCCAGGGAAGCACTTGAGAACTGTGCCAGGGACCCTGTGAGACTTAGAGGCCCTGGACTAGGAGTTGTCAAAGACGACCCTGTGATGTCAACACTCCCCCCCCCCCGCCACTTCCAGGTGATCCTACTGGACTCAAAGAAGAAGCTGGCCTGCGGGGGGGTGCTCATCCACACCTCCTGGGTGCTGACCGCAGCCCACTGCATGGAGAACGCCAGGAAGCTCACTGTCAGGCTTGGTATGATCTGGAGCCAGTCAGGGGGGCTGCCAGAGGCCTCGGTCAGGGGTGGCAGTGGGTAATGGGCAGGCTGTCCAGGTTTGAAAGACCCTGGTCTCAGGATGCTTGAACTCCATAGAAGGTGCTTTGGTAGAAGACCCTTATGTGCCTACACCGTGCCCACTCCTGTGACACCAGGCTAGAAGGGGATTCTCTTGAGTGCCCCTTTTATTTTTTTTCCACTGGGAATTGAACCCAGGGGGTATTCTACCACTGAACTTTATCCCTAGGTCTTTCTTTCTTTCTTTCTTTCTTTCTTTCTTTCTTTCTTTCTTTCTTTCTTTCTTTCTTTTTCTTTCTTTCTTTCCTTCTTTCCTTCCTTCTTTCTTTCCTTCCTTCCTTCCTTCCTTCCTTCCTTCCTTCCTTCCTTCCTTCCTTCTTTCTTTCTTTCTTTCTTTCTTTCTTTCTGAGACTGGGTCTCACTAAATTGCCTGAGTCCTCATCAAGTAGCTGAAGCTGGCCTTGAAGTTGCAATCCTTCTGCCTCTCAGCCTTCCAAGTCTCTGGGCTGACAGGTGTGCATCACTAACCCTGGATTGAGTGCCCTCTTTAAGTCTGGGCCCACATGTTTGTCAGTGAGAGGGTTTTACACATCCTTTCTCCTCACCCCCACTCACTTGGAGCAGGCTGCGTGGGGGCCTCAGCACACAAGGATGCAGAGACCCACCAGACCTGGCCTCAGAGCTAGGCTTCACACAGACTTCTGGGGATGGAATTGTGCAGCAAGGGACCCTGGCATCTGCCACAGCAGGAGTCTGGTGGGGGGGTTCTCACTCTGACAGTTTCTAGAGGGGGCTCTCATTAGACTCTATGGCAAAAAAAGAATAAAAAGGTGTATTGAGAATGTCCACATTCATGCTTCTTACAATTACCATCGGCACAACTGATGGCCAGTGACCCTTCATGGGGCTTGGTGTGGGATTTCCAGGCCCTCCATCCCAGGAACCACTGAACCTTGCCTGGGAGGATTTGGTCTCTTGCTTGTGGGCCCAATTATTCTTTCCCTGCAGTACCTATATCCTCCTCTTTGGGTCTTGCTGCTCTGTCCCTTGTTTCTCCAGCTCTGGGTGCTCCGTCTTTCCCTTGGTGGCTCTGGTCTGTGTCTGCTGGTTTCCAGGGCCTTGGGCCTTCCTGCTCTCCCTGACTTCCTTGGTCCGCTCTGACAGCATTCTCTACCCTGCAGGTGAGTATGACCTGCGGCGTAGGGACAAGTGGGAAGTGGACCTGAACATCAGGGACGTCTTCATTCACCCCAACTACAGCCGGAGCACCAGTGACAATGACATCGCCCTGCTCCGCCTGGCTAAGCCCGTCACCCTCTCAAAGACCATTGTGCCCATCTGCCTCCCTGACAGTGGCCTTGCAGAGCGTGAGCTCACTCAGGCCGGCCAAGAGACAGTGGTGACCGGCTGGGGTTATCACAACAGCCGAGAGAAGGAGTCCAAGAGAAACCGCACCTTTGTCCTCACCTTCATCAAGATTCCTGTGGCCCCGCGCAATGAGTGCATGGAGGTCATGAACAACATGATCTCCGAGAACATGCTGTGTGCAGGCATCCTAGGGGATGAGCGGGATGCCTGTGAAGGGGACAGTGGGGGACCCATGGTCGCTCTTTCGCGAGGCACCTGGTTCTTGGTGGGCCTGGTGAGCTGGGGGGAGGGCTGTGGACTCCTGAACAACTATGGTGTCTATACCAAGGTCAGCCGCTACCTAGACTGGATTCACAGCCACATCAGGGACAAGAACAACTCCACTAAGATCCAGGTGCCATAGCACCTCTCTCTTATCTCTGGATCCCAGAGGCCACTCTGCAGTGGAGCTGGGCTATTGAATGGCAATACCTGGGACATTAAAGGGTATGTGACAGCCTGTGCCTCTGTCTGTCCTTTTATTCCTGTTCTGGATCATTCTAGAGGGAAGTAGGATTTATTGAGTACCTACTTTATGTCACACACTTTATGAACAGAATATTATTTAACTCTCAAGCAATTCTGTGGAGTGGGGAGGAACAGGTTCAATTTTGTGGGGTCTGAAACTAATATAATTGGGGGTGTGTTTTTGCTCTCTTTATATAAAAGAATGAAGCTGGGCATGGTGGTACACGCCTGTAATCCAAGTAGTTAGGGAGGCTGAGGCAGGAGGATTGCAAGTTCAAAGCCAGCCTCAGCAATTTAGCAAGGCCCTAAGCAACTCAGTGAGACCATGTCTCTAAATAAAAACTTTAAAAAGGCTGGGGATGGGATTTAGTGGTTATATGCCCCTGGCTTCGATCCTCGGTACCAAAAAAAAAAGGATGGAAAAATGTGACTAAAAAACTGTTAGAATCTAAAGGCCCTAGAAAGAGCCTCTGCAAGACATGGATCCTAAAGCTTATGTTCGACCAGCTATGGAGGGAGACGAGGTACAGGAAGGTCTGCACGGTGGAGCCAGGATTCATTTTAGGTCTGACTGCAAACCCTAGGAGCTTTTCTCTGTTGTTCTTTGTTCCTCAGGGGCAACTGCTTTAACAGGTGGAGTAGCTAGAGACCCCGGAAGTGTTGTTCAGAATGAGCTCACAGTTTAGTTGAGGAAACTGTTAAGAATAATGTTCCAAGCTGGGTGCATACCTGGAGTCCCAGGTACTAACTACTCAGCAGGCCCAGGTGGGATGATCACTTGAGTCCAAGGGTTTGGGGCTAGCCTGAGCAACATAGCAAAACCCCATCTCAGGAAGGAAGGAAGAGAGGAGAGAGCAAGAAAGAGAGGGAGAGAGGAGGAAAGGAGGGAGGAGGAGGCAGGGTAGGAAGGGAAAAGAAAAGGAAAGGAGAAAGGAAGAAAGAACAATGTTACACAATTGGGAATAGCAGTAATCATTGCTGCCTGCTCCTGTAGACCTCTGGGTCCCCTCTCTGACCCCACCCATGCTCACTGGATAAGGTGCTGAATTGGATGTAGAACACAAGAACCAGGGCACCTGGGTTCCAGGGCACTTGGGAACATCAACTTGCCTTCCAAATGAGGGACAACTGATGAGCGACCTAATGAAGTCTAGCCTCCAAACAGTTCAGCATCTCTGAAGCCAAGTCAGGCCACCTGGAACCCTGTCACTGCCACCTAGTTCTGTGATTGCCTTGGGAGAGCTGTTGTCCCTTCCTCCTTCCCATCCGTTGATAAAAACCAGAACTCTGTGTGTGGCGACTACACAACAGGGACAGGGCAGCCATTAGGACCCTGCTGGCCCATGGCTTGTCTCATTTAGTCCCAGCGTCTGGCAAAACCCTCAAGGAGCCTGTGTTCCACCCCAGCTCACCCCTGCGCCTTGCCCTATTGTCACTCTTCAGAGGTTTCCAGGAGCAGCATGAACAAAAGTGACAAGTGACTTCTGGGGACTGACCGATTGTCCACACTCAGCATGTACGTTTGAAGGGGGATTTAGTTTTTCTGAGCTTCAGTTACCTTATCTGAGAACAATGGGAAAGCAATAGCCTGTATCGCTGATGATCACTTGATTTAATAATTAGATCAAAGAGCATTAATAAAGTGTCTGAGACAGTGTCTGAGCCTTTTAACGCAGTTTCAGGAAAACAGAACATGATTCACAAGTTTCTGGGTGCTAGAGAGATTATACAAAATTTAAAATAAAAATAGTAGTAAACCGCAAAATAAACACAACTGAGCACATCAAAAATCTAACTTTAGGGATGACATGGGCCTGTAGTCCCAGTGACTTTGGACACTGATAAGGAGGATTGCAGGTATGAGGCCAGCCTCAGCAACTTAGACCCTGTCAAAAATAAAATTTTAAGGGGCTGGGGTTGTGGCTCAGTAGTAGAGCGCTCACCTAGCACATGCGAGGCCCTGGGTTCGATCCTCAACACCACATAAAAATAAATAAATAAAATAAAGGTATTGTGTACAACTAAAAAAATAAATAAATAAAATAATTTTAAAAAAAATAAAAAATAGAATTTTAAGAAAGACTGAGGATGTTGAAGAGTAGTAGAGCATGCCCGGGTTCAATCCCCAAAACCCAAACAAACAAAAAATTGACTTTGCCCATGAAGACTACTTCTATATATATATATATATATATATATATATATATATATTTTTTTTTTTTTTCTCAACTGATCATTTCAAAACTTCTTTTCTCAACTGGGCAGTATCCTAAGTGTTGCTTCTTCAGCCCCTGAGACAGGACTGCCCTGTGGATGGGGAGCTCTCCTAGGAAGAGAGGTCAGGGGCTGCCCACCCACTTGCCTCTCCACATCCAGTCTTGGCTGAGCCTAGGGGACCCCCAGTCCTCGCCAGCAGGGCCAGGCCTCACCTGTACCTACCCAGGGGTGCCTGTGAGGGATAAGTCTGAAGCTGGCTAATGATTGACACATTCCAAATATTGACAAAGACCAGGACCTGCAGCTGCCCAATACACGCCCCTCTCTTCCTTCACCTGCTGCCTGGCTCTATGTCACGAGAGACATAGCAGGGACTTTGAGCTGCCACCTCTTCACCCAGACTCCCTGAGTTGGGCATTTGCAGGAGCCTGCTGAGACTCTTTTCCCTTCATCCAAATGGAGAGTCAGCAGTTCCTGCTCTGGCTGCAGTGAGAGGACCTCAGTTGCCAGCGGTCAGGTGCCTGGCACATACCTGTAGTGAGGGTGCTCAGCTTCTCCTGGGCCTCTCCTCAGGCTTGGCCCACCAACTCCTTTCACCCTCACCCACTGTCCACAGTTCATCCTGGTCCTTTTGGCCTCATTAGTTAGTACTTTCCTGTCTGTCCTTCCCATAGCACCTACTCCAGGCTAAGTGGAGGACTTCTCAGGAGGCAGGACCCCCAGTCTCTCACCCCAGGACCCCAGCATAGGGCTTTGCACATTGCTGCCTTCTTCTGGGCAACTGAATTCTTCCGCCGTCACAGGTGACTTTCATTTGTACCCATGTCCCCTTCTCTGATTCATTGTGACCCTTGATCTTGGGCTTTCATGAAGGGATCAAGAAAAAAGAAACGGGGTCAGAGCCTATGCAGGGTCACCTCTAGGCAGCGGACAATGCAAAAGTTTGATCTTGGATACTCACAACTCTAGATAGAGAGGGTCTGAACCCAAATAGTAGGTGAGAAGAGAAGGTTCAGGAAGGCCAGGTGGCAAGTCTTGGGTCCCCATCTGGGAAATGACCACCAAACCCAAGAACTGAACACTCTCTGTTCTGCCAGGTGCCACTCTGATTCCACCAAAATGCAACAGTAATTAGAGATCACTTCTCAGCTGAATCTTGAATTTCTCATGTCCTTTTACTTTTTCAACAAAGAGGCTGAACTTAAACATCTCTGTATAAAGCTTTTCCCATGACGTTTGCTCTTTCCCTGGGCCTTGTCTGACCTGGGTGCTTTTCTGGGCTCAGCTTGGGGCCCAGATGTGGCACTCTATACATACAGGCCATGGATGTGTGCTTTCACCAGCTACTCCCTCTTCTGGGATCAGTGACCTGTCTCCATATTGCTCGCCTCCTATATGATACCTACTCTCACACACATACCACGCCTGCAGAACTGTGCATCTGTTCCCAGAAAACCCTGTAGCTGCTTGCTGTGGGATAATGTCTCCTCCTGGGCTGTGACCTCAACTGTGTGCTCCAAGGATGCAAGCTTTGTCAGGCAAGGGGCAGATGGGACACAATGGGGAAGTCATCTGCTGTCACTCACTGTCTGTGCTGACCTTCTGGAGGACCTGTCCACACCCCAAGGTGGAATCTGACACCAGCATCTTTTATCTCCTGGGCTGGAGGGCAGAGCAGTCCACACTGCAGGGAACTGAAGGACAAGCACACCAGATGTAGAACTTTCAGCCTGACAGGCTGGCTGAGTAGCCAATGGCTACGTGGCACCAAACATCATAAAATGAGCTGGGTGGATTTTGTGATTGAACCTAGGGTCTTGAAATGCTAGGTAAGTGCTCTACCATTGAGCTACACTTCCAATCCTTTTTAAATTTTTTTTTAGTTGTAGTTGGACACACAATACCTTTATTTTACTTATTTATTTTTATGTGGTGCTGAGGATTGAACTCAGTGCCTCCCATGTGCTAGGCAAGTGCTCTACCACTAAGTCACAACCTTAGCCCTTCCTTAACCTTTTTTTGGTTTTATTTTTATTTTGAGACAGGGTCCCACTAAGGTGCCTCCAACTAGGGATCCTTCTGCCTCAGCCTGCAGAATTGCTGGGATTACAGGCGTGTGCCACAAAGTTTGGCTTTTCTTTTTCCTTTTTAAGTAGAACTTGTTTAAGATGGAAATCAACTGTTCTTTAAAAGTTTGTTAAAACTCACACACACAGAATCACAGAAGGCAGAGGCATTTCAGAGGAATAGAATGAATTTTACTACCTTTGCAATGGTATTTTGTATTTGTTCAAGAATGCATCTATTTAATTCAAGTTTTCAAATTTATTGGCTTATGATAAAATAATTCCAGTTCTCCACCCCCTTCACCCTTTCCAGTCTTCAAATTTTTTTTTTCCACTAATGGGGATGAACCCAGGGTGCTCTACCACTGAGCTACATCCCCCATCCTTTTTATTTTTTATTTGAGACAGGGTTATCTAAGTTGTTCAGAATGCCCTCTAACTTGAAATCCTCTTGCCTCAACCTCCCAAGTCACTAGAATTATAGTGTGCACCACTGCACTCAGCTAACAAGAGAAATTTGTTGTTTCACAGTTTTGGGGACAGAAAGTCCAAGATCAAGAGGTCAGCAAAGTTGGTTCCTTCTTAGGGGTGTGAGGGAGAATCTGGTCTATGCCTACCTCCCAGCTTCTGGTGGTTTGCTGGTAAACTCTGGCATTTCTTGGCTTGTAGATGTATCACCCAGGCTATCATGGCCTTACCATGGCCTTCTCCTT